TATTTGAATCACAGCAAGACAGCATTATTCTAGTCATGGGAGTCATTTAGTTCCACAAATTTCCATCTTTTGTTCCCATTGGGATTGAATACCGCAGAAAGACCTAGTGCATAAAAGTGGGGATTCTTCCAGATTTACTGCTCCTCCAGGAGAACCTTTGCCCAGGTTTGGTGGCTCCACCAGTTGTGTGTCATTTTGGACCAGAGATGCTAAAGGAATGGATGATATTTTCTCATCTCTCAGACAAACTATTGCAGTTTAAAAATGACTCAGAACAAAGTTGCTTGCAATAGAATCTACCTATTTTGGGAGAGCTTCACTGGTTTCTAGGCATAATTTATGGTGCTGGGTTTGGCCTATAAAATTCTTTTTAGCATAGGCTTTTGCTACCCGGGATTGTCTTTTTTAGGAGAATCCACCACTCAACATAAATTGGCCAGGAAATTCTGTGGCTACCCATCCTGGAGAGATGCAGGGGGAGGGGAGAATGGGAAAAGTGGCATTCTTATGGGCAGTCTATTCACATTGGAAGAGTTACTGTCTGGGGTTAAATAAAATGTTGATTTTATCCTTTAAGAAACCAGTTGGGACTTTGGGTGAGTTTTAATGGAAAATAGCAGCATATTTTAAAATATTTTAATATTAAAATTGATTTCACGGATGTTTTAAGCTATCGCGGTAATCCATGTAAGAGTTGCCTGAGTAGGCAGTATACAAATAATCAATCAGTCTGCTCTGCAGTCTTTCTCAGCTCAACAATTTCACATTTTTATCATCCCTTCTCATCTTATGCAGTCACGTTTATTTGTCAACATCCACCAACCTTTTAGTTCACTCTTCCAACTTTTGGGTTCTATTTGCCCAAGATATGAAATTCAGGAAAGCGTTACGGAAAGTTTTTAAAAAGGAAGGGGCTGGGAAAATTACCACATGCTTGATTCACATAGACTTGGAGATCAAGAAAAATAGAGAGGAACTTCAAAATAATTAGAAAACAAATTGTTTTTGAGACAACATTGAGATTAGAAATAATAACTAAAAGTTGCAGGTCCAACTTAAGTATAAGAGATTTCTTACTTTCACAGTAGTCAGACTGATATTTTTAGAGATTAGGGGAGAATCTTCTATACTCTTTCCATAGAATCGCTGCTATGGCTGATTTTTTTTCAAGGTTCAGAGACAAAAATAAAGAAGTCATTCTAAACAAAAGGGACATGAACTCCTTCAAGTTCCTCTTCAATCTGGAACAGCTTTCTTGGAAAGGAATATCAGTAACCAAGGATAATTGCAATAAATAACTCTTTTCTCTACACATGGTCAATTTATGCGTATGATAAATATTTTGCTGATTAATGTCATTTTTCTGTGACATTTTGGTTGGTATTGAATAAATGTTCAGTCTTTTTTTAAGTTTGTATAGATACAAAATTATTATTTTTTCCCCGCAATTCCCCATGAAAACCAAATCATGCATGTATGCTTGTTGCTTTAATACAACAAGATGTGAGATGAGGTGACAAATACTTACTGCATCCATAAGCCCTTTTACTGTGGGAGACTTTAACATCAAAGCATCAAACACTTCATCCGCTTCTTTCCTCACATACAGGAGAACTGAAAAATAAAGCACCAAACTTTGGAGAAGACGTTTAACAGTTTCACAAATGAATCATTTCCCTTGGACGGCAATTTCTTTCTTTCCACCAAATGACAATTGAAAAAAGCCAGGCACTTCTATTAAAAATAAAACTATCCCAGAAAATAAGTATGTCATGGGGCAAGAGGCATATTAGCTGATTTGGAAATAGGGTGTCCTTTTCCCCCCTTCCAATAAATTGTGTTACGAATAGCAGTATTTCTTAAAACTTTTAGAGCTTCCAAATCAATTCAAGATGGTTACATTGAAGTTCTCTATAGAATTGAGTTCTTGAAATTCACTATAGAATTGGGTGACTTGCCATCATTGATATCAAATTTACAAATCAATAACTAAAAAATCCATTAACTTGTAAAGCAAATACTCAAATCTGTGAATTTTCTTTTTGGGATACAAGGGCAAAATAATTACAGGTAGTTCTCAACTTACAACAGTTCATGCAGTGACTGTTCGCAGTTACAACAGCACTGAAAAAAGTGACTTGTGACTGTTTTTCACACTTAAAACCATTACAGCATTCTCATGGCCATCTGATCAAAATTCAGACGCTTGGCAACTGACTCATATTTATGATGGTTGCAGTGTCCCGTGATCAATTTTTGCAACTTCTGACAAGCAAAGTCAATACGGAATCCAGATTCATTTAACAACCATGTTACTAATTTAACAAGTGCAATGGTTCACCTAACAACTGTGGCAAGAAAGGTTGTAAAATGGTACAAAACTCACTTAACAAATGTCTCAGCAACAGAAATTTTAGACCCAGTTGTGGTTGTAAGTCGAGGACTATCTGTAGTGTTCTGATAAAACAAGATAAATCACCAATATAGTTTTTTCATACATTGTCCAATAGTCCCTTCATCATTTCCAATGTGAGGTTTCAACAGTAACATCAGCAAATACAGATGTCCTCAGTTAAAGTCTACTCATTCAGCAATCATTCAAAGTTAGGATAATGCAGAATGAAGGGCATTTACAACAGTGCTCGTACTGGCAACCATCATGGCATTCCTACTGTCATGTGACTGTGAAGTTGCCATTTGCGACTGTTATTGCTGACTTCCAACAAGTAAAGACATTGGGGAAGCCAGCAGGAAGTTGCAAACAGTGATCACATGATCCAGGGATGCTGAGACCATGCAGGATTAGCTTAACAATGGCAATTGGGATTGCTGTCATAAATCAGCATAGCCATTTGATGTTGCATCCTACAACCACACTGCTTAGTAATGGAGTTCCCAGTCCCAATTACCATCAGTAAGTGAGATCTACCTGTAATTTACCAATAACATGCATTTATGTGATTTTGATATACCCTGGTTTTGAGGTTTTGAGCCTAGCTGTTTCTCAACTATATCCAAAACTCTAACCAAACTTTCAATAGCCGCCAAATGTTTTGGGCTGTAATTTGCATCTTCTGGGGAACTGCTACTCCCTACATCTTGGAGGCATCCAGTTGGGAAAGTATTGTGTATTTTAGTTGATCATCAATTGCTACAAGGGATATAAGACAAAGTGTCTAAGAGCAAATAAGTACCTCTCTTTGTTCCTTCTTCTTTTATTTGTTTCAACGGTGGTGGAACAAAGTCCTCTTCAACTGTGCGGAATATCCGTTTAGCTAGAATACTACCACTGAGCAGAAAAACACAAAGAAACAGATTTGTAAATTAATCAAGGTACAATAATTGTAGGACAAGGAGTGGCAGAGTCAAAAAAGGAATCAGTGTAGAATCTTTGTGTAACTACCAACAGACTAAGTCCAATTTTACTTGAACTCTTATCTAGCACCAAATTAGTGTTGTTAGTTTAGTAGATGGACATAAGCATGAGCAATAAATCAGTTTAATTGCAACTACACATGTGATCCTGGTCTTTTGCACCTGACAATAATCCTCCTCTTTGTTCAGGGAAAGACTGCTGATCAAGATTAACTAAAGATGAAATATCCATCTTTACACTAACTGAATCTGATGTAACTTTATTTGATGGGATTTAAATCCCTTTTGCTGTAGAATGTATATTGATAGATACCAAGGCAAAAGTTGTAGTAAGTACTATGGATTTGTTCTGCTCTCTAGACTGCCACTTTAATTCTCTTTCTTCCCTGAGAGAAGTCATCAGGCAAGGCTATTTCAGTATAATATTTGCTCACTGTTTAAAACATCCAGAAGGCAACATTAATTCTGACACACATCCTTTGGCTTTTTCTCCAAATTCCAGCTAATTATTTCCATCAAACATCATATGTTATCATTTCATTCAGACTATATTAAAATGCAGTATACATAGATCAATTAATCAATTACAGAAAAAAAAAATCAAGATCAGCCTTTACAATGAAATGATGAAATAGTAATTTTTAAGAAAATGCTAGTACTTTTGATAGGCCTGTTCTAAGAATAAGGTACTGTTAATTCCATGGGCATAATACTGATATATTATCTAAACTAGGGGTAGGCTCTTTTATGACTCGTGGACTTCAACTCCCAGAATTCCTGAGCCAGCATAGCCAAGGTTGCCTACCCTGGATCTAAACTAACAGCTTGAGACGTTATGTAAGATACTACGGTAGACACAAAAAAAGTTAAGACTATAAACCAGTTTTCTGCTTATATATATTACCAAAACTAGAACTCTGAGGAACTAAGCTTCCATTTATTTATTTTATATAAACTAGAGGCTTTCTGATTTCAAATTTCCCTGAGCAGGTCATGCTTCAAAAGCTAGAAACACTCAAAATTAAAAAGCAGACCATGGATATCAAGGAAAGAAAAGTATACATAACAATAAAAAAGTAACCTATAGGGCTCAGCAAGTCTTCCCTGCACCAAGATCTGGGAGAACAGCCAAGTTGTCAAAGACTTTCAGTTTGTCATTAGGTTAGGAACCATATGGATTTCTGGAGGGGATCCAGCTTCAGAGAGCAGGCTCTGTGATGGAGGAGGTATACTTCCTAGGTCCTAGCAGATCACATTGTTTAATTGTGGGGATTTGTTTTAGTGTTATTCATAGATATGAAGCAGTTTCTACTCTAATGGCCAACAAGGCAGGCATGCAGATCACAGGAAGGTAAGTGGAGCTAAGAGGAAATTCCAATAGTCACTGAGCTCCAGAGTGATTTACTAATGATTATTTCCAGAAAATATTTAAAAATTGGCAAGCTGAACTGCATTTTCTTAATGTGCATTATTCAAGTTGTTTAAAAAAATTAAGTCTTCTATACTATGGGATTTGCTTTGTCTTGCTTCACTGGTGTGGACCTCCTTTAAAGCATACCTAGCCAAAATTATATCTCAGAAGATGCATAAATATCAGATCACTTCTATCAGAAGCAATAAAAATTGCTACAACAAAAGAAACATCACTCTCGGGGAAAAAATTACATAGCTTTAATTTGCACTAGAATTTTCATGTTTATATTTATATTTTGTATAAGGGGGTTGGATTCTTAGTTACAAAATGTATAGTAAAGGTCATACCCTTCTCGTTCATCATCGGTGTTATAATAAACCTGCAAAAAAGAACAACAAACAGATTTATAGTTATGGTGTCTCCAGGAAATCAAGGAAGGGGGCCAAGCCATTAATTCGGTCTTCTTCACATAAATCAGTTGCTCATTTTGCTCAGTTTTGGCATGCCCCATTCATTTCTAGAGGACCTGTGAGAAAAAGTCTCTGACAGGTCATGTCTGTTCATTCTTTAGAATTCTTCCATTCTCTGTTGTTTGTTTGAATTAAACAAAGTCAGGTAAACACAGTTGGTTTGTCTGCCAAAAGTGTAAACTGCTGTGAGAAAAATGGATAGGATGAAATTCTCTTTCTCTCTGTATTTCTTCCCATCTTGGAAGGGTCAACACCCTTTAACTCTGTGGAGAAGATGTGACTCTGCTTTAATGTGAAAAAATGGCTTTAAAAGAATACTTTCCAGACATATTTGATTTGATGCTAGGGATCAAATTTGACATTTTAATATGGGGAGGAAGACACAGCTTTTTCTGGGACAGGGGTCACATTTGGATACACTAAAATTTCTGCTTATTCTGTTGAGAAGAATTTGAAACAGTTTTCCCTTGAATTCCTTTATTAAAAAGAGAATCATGATCAGAGGAACTGTTGGACTTTAAAACCTCAGCTTTACTTCTTCAATCTTGGAAAATACTTTTTAACTGACAATAACACACTATTTTAAATGTTAACACCTATTAAATAACAGTAGATTAAAAGAAATATTTAACTCTTGCCTTTTCTGTTTTAAATTTGGTTACCCTGAGCAACAGAGCTAGATTTTGATAGATCAGCTCTTAGTTCTGTTCAGTTAGATTTAATTTCAACTATGATCCACACCTCAAAGAGAGAAGTTGTGAGTGGCATACAGAAAATTCTCTGTTCAGTCTTTGGCAACAAGATGAATAATGACATGAATGAGTCTTTGCAGATTCAAGATTACCACTACCATTCCCTAGTATGCTCTATTAGCTTAGTTGGTCAAATAATCTGATCTGGAAGAAGACAACTTCATCTGAATGTCAGTGAACTCCCAAAAGTTATTTACACAGAATGGATCATGCTCATTTATTTCTGGGAAATAGACGATGGACCAAAATGTTGCCAGGCAGGATAGACCTTCACATTGCCTGATTTCTTACCTGTCCAGCTCTTTGGAGATTGCCAAAATGAACATCTGGTATGAAAAGAACAGGCTGGGAATCCAGGTCAGCCATAGTTTTAAAATAGGTGATGTCACTCTTCTTTTGGAGAGGCACAGCTGTCAACTTCCCTTCTGCTGTTCAGGGAAAATGGAAGAGAAGGTTACTGACTGGGAAGACATTATTTGCACCACACTGAGCACTGTATAGACCAGTGGTTCTCAACCTTTTTAATGCCGCGACCCCAACCGGTCGTAAGTCGAGGACTAAACCAGTCGTAAGTCGAGGACTAAACCGGCCGTAAGTCGAGGACTAAACTGGTCGTAAGTCGAGGACTACCCAACCCATCGTAAGTCGAGGACTTTCCCTGCCCGGGAGCGCCGCGCATGCGTGGTTCCGCCCCCTGTGCCGGCCGAGGCGTAGCTGGCAAGCGGCAGAGACGGAGCAAGCCGACCACCAGCTGGCCCAGCCCAAGGGAGGTAAGGCACCCGCTGGAAAAGGGGAAAAAATGGTGGACAGCCTTGCTTGGCGACCCCCATGAAATGGTCGATCGACCCCAAATGGGGTCCCGACCCACAGGTTGAGAACCACTGGTATAGATAGACCAAGAGAAAGAGATTGTATCCTCACCATTAGGGCAAGCTGCCTGAGAAGCTTGGCCTTTCGATTTCTTTCTGTTTTGCTTTCTTTCTTCATCTCGGATTTTCCTTTCAGCTCCCTATGACAAGAAGCACAGACTTTAAGCGGCTGTTCTGTAGAGGAGGCATTTGTCACCAGGAATGACTTATGGGCTTATTCTTACTAGCCATGATTATTTTTGGATTTGAACATTGTTCTGATCACCAATTTATTATGATATTTCTGGTGTTCTTTATGTTCAGAGGTGTCCACAGAATATGATTTAAAAAAACCAACATGATAGCAAAGCTCCGTGCATATTTTATGCATGGTGTACATATAAAGCACATAAAAATAGCCAAAGCTTCCATTATGCTCTCATGGCTACCATGTTGACTTTTTAGCCACACCCTCAAGCACTCTTGTTTATGATACAGGAGAATATTTGTGGCTAAGGGTTGAAATGTATTTATTATTTTATTTATTATTTAAATTTATATACCGCCCTATCTCCCTTACGGGACTCAGGGCGGTGAACAGGCAATAATAAAAATCACAATAAATATTGAATAAAAAGCCTGCTCTAAAATACCCCATATAAAACCCCTAGCAAAGCCCAATCAAAACTACGCCAGGCCGGAATAGATGGGTTTTCAAGGCTCGGCGGAAGAGGCGCAGGTCCGTAGTTGTACGTAGGTCGGGGGGTAGGTCATTCCAGAGGGCAGGAGCTGCCACAGAGAAGGCTCTCCCCCTGGGGGTCGCCAGCCGGCATTGACTGGCCGACGGCACCCTAAGGAGGCCCTCTCTGTGGGAGCGGACTGGTCGAAGGGAGATATT